TTCGCGGATCTCCTGCTTATGCATAGCGTTATCGAAGCTCATCTGCTTCTTCAGGCGCTCCAACTCTTCCCTCAGGTTATTGGTCTGCGTTGAGACCAACTGTTGGGAAATGGATGGCGTCTTCGGCCGAGTGTTTGCCGACGAGTTCGACGACACAATCGGGTGGGAGTTGTTCGCGAGGAGTGAACTCTGATTGGATTGCATTCGATGTGATGGAGAGGTGGAGGCGGACGATGAGGTCGATGACGAGGAAGTGGTTCGTAGTATTTTACTCGCGCGAAGAGCTTCGGCTACGTTTCGTTTGCCTACCCGTGCGGTGCGGGCGCACGCCTTCACGTCCTCTTTGTTCTGTACATTTGTTTTTGAGTCTAAAAACGTAAGATTTTCATTAATTATCAGATTATTGTGTTTTATAAGCAAGGTAATCGTACTTTTATTCAATAGAATCGTCGACTCATTGCTTATCTTAATTTCAGACTTGAATTCATCCAACACTTTATCACTCGTGAGACTAAAAACGCCGGGAATTACAGGTTTGGAAGCGTTTGGTGAGCTGTCATCCATGTTCTTATCGGTGGTGTCACTGCTATTAGTGTTTGCATTTGTGTCGATATTATTTGCATTACCATTACTATTATCTGAATTGTTAGGCGACTTTTCACCGGTATTTAGCGATTCACTCGCAATGAGTCTATTATAATAGTCGTTGTCTTCTTCACAAATGAATATCTCTTTTGGAGAAAACGGAGTCTTTTGTGGCGAGTATTTAAACTTATCGGCAAATTTGGCGTTCAATCTGTCGATATGAACGGCCAGTTCCCTCATTGCACTCTCGAACTTAGACTTATGGGTTTTGTTAGGTTTGGAACCGGGATGTACTTCCGATACCAACCAACACGAGTCTGCTGTCACCCAAGCGCTGCACAAAATGCCAACAATTAATAACTCAATTATTACTCAATTTTATGATAAATGTCTTAAAAGTATCGTTAAATAAAAACAATTATAACTACAGTAATACAGTATATACCGTAGAATTGAATGTAAATACAGAATGTGCTAAAAAATATGGACAACCAGTGGACAGACATACCGGTCATGAGTGCCGAAGAAGCGACAGTCGACTTCGTTTTGTTTGCCGCCATTGTGTCGGACAATCTTCGCGGGCCATAAGGGGTAACCCTTGACT